TGGGTCCTTTAAACATGATGTTTTGGGTTCAAACTAAACCGTGTGCACAAAAAAAACTTTGCCGGGGATGCAAAACCCACTTCAGTGATCTCTACTCCTTGAAGGGATTAGTCTTTAACTATCAGTTAGGGGATACCACCTGGTTTCTATATAAAAAAAAAGAAAAGATACAACGTACTGATAATCTAAACTTCAGAACCATTACTTCACCAATTATTCTCTCTTTCTTTTAACCCGTTCTCGATTCCAAATTTACCGCACAGGAAAAATTGATCTGAGTGAGAAAACGAGGGAGGGGCAGAAAAGGTAATTCAGGATTTGGCGCCGCCTTGTCGGAGATCCCAATGATTTTTGCCTTTTTAACATTAAATATTACATAGGGCCGAACGCTGTCCTCTCGGTGTAAAAGAAAAACTCGCGCGTCGAGTGGGAAAGGGAAAAACCCTAAATCTTTTCAGTCACACTGTTGAACCCAAGCTTCCAGCTGCTTGCTCTTTCCGTTCACTCTGCGTCCGTCTGTGAGGGGGCTTTATAGCCCTCTCTCGATGTACCCGTTTTCTTCCTGATCCATCTACAGCTTTGCTCTTCTCCGGTGTCATGCAGGTAATGTTCTTTTGGAGCCCTAATTTATTTATATGCAGGCGCGCAATTTTCTGTTATCTGGTGTGAGGTGCTTGATTGTTTAGGTTGCCGAGCTAAGTGGCTCACGAGTTGGATTGGAATTTGGGGTCATTTTGGTATTTCTCGGATTTGGTTTGTGAAACTCACGATTTTTGAAAATGCTTTGATCTGCTTTACTTGTGTAATCCCCTGGTTCGAAGGGATTAGGAAGCGGACTTTTCTTTTCCGCTTCTTAATCGATAGCCATGCGATTTCCCCCCTTTTGCACGGGTGGTTTAGTGGATCGGATATATATGTTTCTGGGATTCCGAACTTGTGATTTTATCGTAGTTTATTCACGCAGGAAGTTCAGTTTGGTTTTTTTTCCTTCCTCTGATACAATTTTTCGCTAGCTGCAGTAATACTGACCTATGGATAATTTTTTTCTGTAGAGTTTCCACCTACCCCCTGTCAGTTTGATCAATTTCTGGAGTTGGGCAATTTAATTGAGCTGTGATCCCGTAAAATAGCTTTGCTTGCTGGCTGTTATTTGCTGTAATTGATTGAAGTCCTTTGGCGTTTGACAATTTAGAAATATAGGCTGTGCCCTGTAGCATCTTTGTTTAGTCCATCACTATGATTGCGACAGAAACTATAGTTCCAAGTACAAAGTTGAAGATAAAGTTCTCCACCAAAAGGATAGAAGTTAATCCCGGGACAAAATGTGAGCTTGACCAGAAAGTGGACCGTACTGATGACGCTGGGCTCTATAATTTAAAGGAAAGGTCCTCTGTACCGGGTTCCAACAAGCGAGGACCACCTGGGAGTTATGAGGGCCAAAAGGAGAAGAGGCAGAAGATGGAACGGAAAGCTTCTCTACAGTGTGCTACTATTCTGAAGAGTCTAACATCTCATCCATATAGCTGGGTTTTTAGTAAGCCAGTGGATCCTGTAGCTTTGAACATTCCAGATTATTTTTCAGTTATATCCGAACCCATGGATTTAGGCACAATTAAAAGCAAGTTGGAGAAAAATTTGTATGCTGGCGCTGAGGAGTTTGCAGCTGATGTTAGACTCACCTTTTCAAATGCAATGAGATATAATCCTCCTGGTAATGATGTTCATCTGATGGCAAAGGAACTCAATAGGTCCTTTGAGAGAAGATGGAAAGACTTGGATAAAAAATGGAAGTGTGGTGATGGTGATGGAAAATGTATGGCTGGAACAACTATGGAAAACGTGAGAAAAAGTGGTACTGTGGTGCCTCCTGTGCAAAAAGATATCTTGCCAAGAAAGTCTCAGCAGTTATCTGAACAGAAAGGCATGCAGAGGAGTAATTCGTTGACTGCAAGAGATGATAAAGTAATTGCTGCTTTCTTGAAGCTTGAAATACTGAACATGCAAGATTTCAAGGCATTTTGTATGAATGGATTGAATAAAATATGTGGTTTCTGCAGAGTTCCCTGTGGTCAATTTGTTGCGGCATGCATCTTTTATTTGCTATATGTTTGTTGAGAAGTATTTTTCTAAATAACTCTAATTGCTTTTCTTGTAGGTGGTGGTTTCTAAATCATCACATATTCCCTGCAAATTGATACTGAAAAACATACACAAAGGTAAGGCATAAAACCAAAGAGTGAAGTGCAATCGTATGGTTCTGCATGCGACCTAAGAGCTTTGTGTTTTATAGGAAGCAAAGATAACAGTAATGAGGAACGTCCTTCTGTCTCTGCGAAGCCTTGTCCTTCATTGAGTCATGTCACACACAAGGCTAACATTTCTGGGGACACTGCAAGCCATGGTGTCGTTTCTGGTGATTCAACATGCGTGTCATCAGGTAATTGACGATCTTTTGTCAGCTTCTTTTTGATTATGCCATTTTGTCCCTTGTGGGCTTTTATATTTTAACATTGGTTTACTTAAATCTGAAGGATCTGAAGGAGGGAATATGAGTGGCGCTGAAGCTTTGGAACGGGTATTGATAATGAAATTGTTGTATAACATGAGTTGGCTGCAGCTTTTGGAACTCTAACTCTACATTTGAATCTAAAAATGTTTGTATCAAATTCCAGAATTGCCCCGCTAAAGGTACACCGTCGCAGGGGAAGTTGGATCCTGACTTTGATGGTGAGACGATTTTATGATTTATAATATGTCATCTTCTAGGTGTTCCTATCTTATTAAATATGCATGGTGTTGACATTATGCAAAGGGGCTGTAAGTGCTGTGGATAGTGAACGTCTGTCCCCTAGCTCTCCTCTTACAGATCCTGCTATGGATGCTTCCTCTGTAGAAGGTCAGCTTTTCTTAGATGTTTTGATGAATTGTTGCTTTTGCGTTGTAGAATGGTACTTAGTGGTACTTGTTTTTGCTTCTTCTATTCCAGTATCGAGCAATCCCATCATGGATGCGCAAATGTCACCCAAGAAGGCCCTTCGAGCTGCAATTCTGAAGCGCCGTTTTGCAGATACCATCCTGAAAGCACAGCAAAAGACTCTTCTGGATCATGTAAGGCTTCTGTCGATGGTATTTAAAAATCTTTTCATGCCTTAAATGTAGGGAGGCTTTGAATTTGCTCTGTTATCTTAATGCGTTTTCCATATTTGTTTAGGGAGACAAAGCTGATCATGTGAAATTGCAGCAGCAAAAGGAGAGATTGGAAAGAATACAAAGTGAAGGTGAATAAAACACAATATATTTGTGTGTTTTGTATTTTGTAACTTTTTTTTTTAATTTCTATTCGTCATGGATTTAACGAGTACTAGTTGGGTGACTCTTGTTATACTTGTAACCTCATACTAGGGTATTTGAAGTGGCTAATGATTGGGTTGTTGCTGGTCACACTTGTTGGTGGGTTAATAAGTCACTTGTGTTCGTAATTTATCATTTTGAGATAAAAATGCAACCTAGGACGTCCATTCAAGTTCAACCTACCGTTTTAATCTAGCCTAATATGCATAGTGTGATTTCAAAGTGACTTTAGCTGTAGTATTTTCCCTTGCATGTAACTGTCGGATGCCAAATGCTTATTTTTTGGTCCTAATTTGACTGGGATTGGTTGTCCTCATTGGGCTTGAAAGATTCGTTGGAGTGTCACTTCTTGCTTGATTGATGCGAATCGTTATGTCGTTCACAAAATGCTGCACTTTAAATAACAGAAAGAGCCAGAATTGAAGCCCAAATCAAAGCTGCTGAATCTGCTGCAAAGATGAGGGCTGAGGAAGAATTGAAGCAACAAAGGGAGAAAGAAAGGGAAGCCGCACGAATGGCAATTCAAAAGGTTCTGTTCTCATACATTTTTGTAGCAAAATTTTTCAATAATTCATCTTGAAGCAAAGAGGCTCACTCTGATGTCCTATTCAGGTGGAAAGAACTGTTGATATAGAACATAACTTGGAGATTCTGAAAGAGCTTGAAATTCTCAGCGGGTGTACCTTGCATGGCTCCGCAGTTGCAACGGAGAAACCAGAACAATCTCAGCTTGGTTACTCATTGGAGCGTCTTGGCTTGTTTATAAAGGATGAGTTTAAAGCAGAAGATGATGATGAGGTTCTGATTGGAAATTGGGAAGAAGGGCAAATTTTGTTTTGATACACCTTGTACTGTTCTTCCTGCTCTCTTTGTTAATACCTTTTTGACGGGGGAAACATATTTGTAAATGCAAAGTTCTCTGCCTCAACTGAAACTTCAGTGGGAGAGATTATAAAAGGAAAAAAAAGAAGCAATAGTCTATATTTTATCGTGGAATGATTCATTAATGATATGCCTGTTATGTTAGCATCAGCACTTTAATCCTTCTGAAAATTGAGATTTTCTGTTGTTTTAACCTGGAATTTTGTTGCTGATCATGGATTAAGATGCGTTTGGTACAGCTTGAGCAGGCGAAAAAACAGAGAAATTGCCGTAAGCGGATTTTGAAAGGACAAACGGAGGCAAACACGTGCAAGTTGTATTTATTCAGATAAAACGGTGACTGTTGGTGTCTCCAGAATTCTTCCATAGCACCCCTTCCCTATTAGTCGGTACTACCGCTACACATTAGAACTAAAATTGCAGTATCTCAAAGTCCTTGCTCTTTATACAGCGAGGTCCTGGAGGATATCTTCATGTAGTGAACCAATACTATCTTCCTTTGCCCAACAAGCCCATTTTGCCAGCAGTGGCCCCAAAAAAAAAAAGGGCTATCTAGAGTTTACCCGGGTGCCAAATTGTAGTGTTCCCTACAAAGCTCACCGATTATAGACGGAAACCACTGTATTAATGAAGGAATGCCTTCTAGATGCAATAAATCTCAGGACGCAGAACCCAGAGTAGCTTTCAAGACAAAAGAGAACCAAAGAAAACCAGCTCAAGTATGTTGGAGGCATATCCAAACCTTGCCAAGAGAATTGGTGTAACGTTCATATGAAATATTTATTTTTAGCAGCTCTGTCGTGCTTCTTAGCATCCTCCTGGAGAATTAGCAACCAATAAATTGAAAACTAACCCGGTTAGGCCCTGGCTTCTGATAAAATGCCGAACAAGCATAAACAGTCTTACATGGAAGATGAAGCCAATTTGGTCATTGTAATCAAGAAATTCTTTCCACTGTTTTCCAATGCTTATCTGCAATAAGAAGACATTCATGAACTGGCATAAGAATCGGCAAATTATACTCAACAAATGCGGACCCGCAGACCTGGAAAAAGGAATATCGTGGCAGTTTTTATTCAGCTATAGCATATACTATGTTACCCCCCCCCCCCATGGGGACATTACACATATCACAAGCTAGTCAGCTGTGGAATATTATATACAGAATATTCCAGAGGCATGGTAAAAGTTATCATTTATAACTTCAGGATAACACAAACCTCCCACGTACAAGGAAAAGAAGTGCCATCTACTCCTAAATTTATCATGTGACCCAGCTACTTGCTAAACCCGTCATCTATTGGCTATCAGGCTTCACCTCTTGAGGCTCAGACACAATTTCACAATATTTTCCCCAACTGCCTAAACTTTCACAATAAAAACCAAATATCTATCTAAATACTTTTTCTAAGCAATTAAAGAAGAAAACGTCATACAGCCGGAAACCAAAGCTATTTAGTTAGCCACTTCTCTTAAACCAACCTTACTTAAAATAAGGCACTTCAACCAGTCATAGGATAGAAAGTTTCAAGCATACTGCAGTGAGTTTTGGGAGTCAAGTGGAAGAAACGGACGGTACCAAGGAGAAAATTGGGGGACATCGAGATCAAACTTTGTGATGCAGCTTAAAGCTCAGGATGGCCCAACGTTTTGTGATTATTAGTAATTACAAATATGAGCAACCGATGAGAACTCTTTTAAAAAAAAAAGAAAAAAAGAAAAAGAAAACTGCTCAAATGATCTTAAATCCTTGAAATTTGAATTGCACATTATCATAAGAATTGAACAATTGTAACTGATTCGGTAAATTTTGCTTTTTCCTCTGAAAAAAACAATATAACAATGACAATACAGTTTGCACCTGAGCTGCTTCATTTGAAGCGTTTCTAGTCCAGATAGCAATTTTTTCCTGCCTATTTCTGACATTTACAACAGCGCCACAAATTTCCTCTCCATGGTCAAACTGTTCTCCAATCATTGCCAGCAACTAGATGTGACAAAACACAAAACACAAAATATTAGTTTATCAGAGCTTCTTGTGGACTAAGGGCCCTTAATGTTAATCGTAAAATGATAGAGATTCTTATCACAAAAAAAAAAATGATAGAGATTCCAGAGCATACCGTATATAACCAACATGTATCAGATTTTCCCCTAGGAAAAGTAACAGTCCATTTTCCACCATTAGCACAAACAGGGTCCTCCCACTTTGGCTCAATTTTGTATTTAAAACAGTGGAAGTCTGCTCCCACGGCCAACTTGCTTGGATGATGTATGTTGTTGTATACACTGAACGAAGATATATTGAACGAAATTATCAGTCAATGAAAGCAAATAAATATTTTCCTTGGATTTGAACATGCTACAGTGAATTTCTAGCAACAACCAAGTAACAAGAGTAATGAAGATCATAATTGATGGCGAAACATGTAGTTGAGGCTGGGAATCATGGCCTAAGGATAGTAAAGATCATGCCCGATCTGATGATTCATGAGCTACCATAAAAACATTTTTAATCAATTTTTATTCTATGTGCATCATATTCTAAGCGGATAGGATGCCAGAATGTGGACCTTGAAATGGACCTTATATGTACGAAAAGGAAAAAGAGCAGGGACGTATCATATAAGATTCAAGACACCACAATGTCGACACAGTAGGACAAAGGGAACGCCAGAACAGAGGGAAAAGAAGAATCACCATCCCCTCTTCCTTTAATACATACGTACTGACGAGAATCCTGACAAGAAGTTCAAACTGGATCCTCTACAGAGAGAGAATAAAACCATCGAACAGAAAATAAAATGATATGCAAGGTTCAATACTTCTTCTTTTTATATAGATGTCCAATTTCTCTCTCGTTAACTTATGCATTATATGTTATCAATTCATGATTAGAGAGTATGGGGAAATGCTCAAATTCATACAACAAATGAGAGAGATGGAAGACAATTTAATCCATATTTTTAAGTATAGAATGTTTAAGAAGAAGATAGGGGGCGAATAATGAAAAGAAAACTGATGTAGAAACTCAAATCTAAGAATTACGCTATAATCCTCGGTATATCTTCCAATCTGTTTTATCAGCATCCATTCAAAGAATAAAATTGAAGAATGAAAACCAGAAACCTCCAAAACTCCTCCACAGTTGCAAAGGTATAAACGGGCCGGATAGAGCTTCCCCAGGCGGCTTGCTTGGACTTGGCAGAGGGATTATCGAACCAGAAGGTCCAAGAATGCTCAAGCGGATGAGGCTGTCGGACCATCGCCGTCGGTAGCTTGGAAGACGCGGAGCCATCATCTCGAACGATCTCTCCTTGCTCCTCCCCATTCTGATCGCCGTCATTGATTTGATTGCCGGTAACGGTAGGCTTTGGGGGTTCATCCACCGCCATTTTCTCTCGCTTTCTTAGCACAAACTGAAATGCCCTCGCAGTTTCGCTCTTTCCCCCGCTTTCTCTCGTAACGACCAACGAGTAGCGAGTACTTTTCGCATCTGTCACAGTTAGTTCACAGGGGAAAAAGGGTTGTTGGCTTTTGGGTTTTTTAATATGGCCTCATGGTTTTTTGATTCTTGTTTTTTGCCTAATATCACTGGGATTTAAATTTAAAATGTCATCTTGGATTTAATGCAATATAGGAAGTTTTTATTTGAGGTTTTATTGTCATATTTGGATTGTTCTTAAATTGTAATTTTAAAGCTTCTTTTTGGATTTCACCTGATCTTTTTTTTTTTTGGGTCCAAGATTTCACCTGATCATTCTGGATTGATTCTTTATTTCTATTTTTTTTGTTAAACTTTCGATCTTAATTTTATTTTGCATAGAATCATTGATTTTAGATTATGATAAATTCTTCCTCTTTCTTGTTTATGAGGCGGAAATAATGATCATTTCTTCGTAAGTGGTAGTCTTAATTAAAAATATCATATTCTTGAACTTGTCAGTTAAATGAAATAAAATTTCTACTTAAATTACAATAAATTAAGCAATAATAAATCATCAATATCATTCAATCGATACGCTGTGTAAAAATAAAATAATTAATTTCTTTTTCTTTACTGTTGAATCGTTATCTATAGATATGACGTTATATAGAAAATCGTTTGATTACTGTCCTTTCTAAAATTATTTGGATATGCCCATACTGCTCTAAGCTAAATCAAATCGAAATCAATTCAAGGCATGAAATTAGTCAAGTGAAATTTGATAAACAATTAATTAAGTGGTCAAATTAAAATTAATTTTGTTTAATATATGAAGTTATATGATCATTATTCACAAGTTATTCCATTGGCTTGGTTGAATAGAAGCTTAAGAGTAAGTATTGGGGGGGGGGGGGGGGGTGCGCGGATCAAGAAGAACTTCGACAAAACGCTCCCTCACTTTCTTCTCTCATCCCTTTTCTTTATGTTTATTGTTTAATTTGACATATTTAATATTTTGAGTTTGAGTTTTATTGTGATGATTTAGACCATGTGTGGCCAACACATGTGGATTGTTTGAAATTTGATCCCAAACTGGGACAAATTACGGCGGTTAATGCTATGGATAACTGAAATTAACCGCGAGGTTACCCATAAACATGGGGCTAGAATGTGACAACTGCTAATCAACTTTTTTTTCCCCTCCTTTTCTCCTGTGCTTATATTTATTCAATTCTTTGTTCAATGCTATTATATTGGTTTGGCCAAATCTGAGAAGAGTAAATTTGAGCCTCTTGGATGAATTTGGAAAAGGAAATCTAAATAGATTTTGAATTCTATAACTTGACATCCAACTTAGCTTAATTATTGTTTCAGTTTATCCTTAGGATATGATGTGTCGGCGTTTTATTTTAATTGATGGCACGTTAATCTCATTATTTTTTTGGCCAAAAATCTCATTAATTGATATGATGAATAAATCAATTAAATTAGTTATTAATAAATCATAGTTATATACTTTAATTTACTTGATTGTTTGAGAGCCGTTAGTTAGTTATCTTTTGCATTCACAGTTACAACTCATCAACATTACATATCAAAACTAAATTAATCGAAGAATAAAATCAACGGTTTAGTTAAGAGATTAAAGTGAAATCGAACAATGATAAAGTGAAATATATTACTTCATGTCTGTATTTATTTTTTCACTCTTTCAGTGTTTTACTTTTGAGTAGTAGTGATAACTGATAAGTACTGTTACTTAGGAGGTGTTTGGGTAAAAACTAAACCATAGTTTTAAAAGTGCTTTTACGATATACGAAGTAAAAATATAGAGGATTTTGCCTCGTTTTGTGAAAAAGTACTTCTGATAAGTATTTTTGGGTGCTTCCAAACACTCCCTTACTCTTTACCAAAAAGCTATTAAATCATCGTATCTAATGATTAAATCATTTAAATTAAATTATCCTCTGCCATCAAATTAATCAGACCATTCTGTATAGTTGTGCCGGAGATTTCTCCCCAATATTCATTTTTTTATCCCTTGTTATCATATTATGTGTTTTGGTGTGCAAATTTCTTTATATATTTATTATAATTTTTATTTAATCCACATGCATTGTTTAATATTTGCAACAGGAGTTTTAAGCGATACTCCCTCCGTTCCTTATTATAAGAGACGAATAACTGAATTACATTGTTCAAAAAAACAGTTAAAATTAGTTAAGAACAATCAATGTGTAAAAAATGTAATTTTTTTTTCCAAAAATGCCCTCATTAATAAGGAGAGAGAGCATGAGAGAGAACAATGGTAAATTATTAAAAGAAAGGGAAATGGAAATGAGAGAGAGTGTGAGTTGGAGACAATAAATATGGGTAAAACAGGAAATCAATACAAAAAAGTAGAGATAACTTTTAAGTGTCTCTTATATATAGGAACATGCCATAAGCATCAAATGTCTCTTATAATAAGGAACGGAGGGAGTATAATTTATGAAGAGAGGATATGCAGTTCAGAGCCAGCAAATTTAATGGTCAATTGTAATTTCTTGGAACTCAAGAAAGTCATCGTTGGCGAAAATATGCTTTTCTTTATGAGTTCGCGTTTAGATTCTTATCGATCCGGGCCATGGAAATATCTTGTTAGTATCTTATCAGTAATTAATGCACGATCCCTATATATAACATTCACTGATTAAGGAATTGAATACTTTCTAAAATCAAAGTAATCTTTATCTCTGCTCTTTCCCAATCTCTGAGGTGAATCTCAACGCTAAACCCTACCCTCGTCGTACTGAGTACCTTTCCATCCACAAAACATTCAACTATGATTATCAAGAAACATCGCGCCGGAGTTGAACCATGTTTCCGGCAGGCCAAGAGGCCGGCGATATTCAAGCCTTCTCATGATCATCAACGTCCAAATCTGAAGATGGTCGTCGGAGCAACCTACTACCCAAAGCGCAACCCTGACAAGCCCCAAGGCGAAGACTCCTACTTCGTCTGCACCCACCGGAATGCTGTCGGCGTGGCTGACGGCGTCGGTGGATGGTCCAGGAAAGGCATCGACGCCGGCCAATACTCCCGTGAGCTCATGCAAAACGCATTGTTCTCCGCAGTCCGCCAACCAAAAGGATCCATTAACCCTAGAACCGTACTGGACGAGGCCTTCGACAACACAAAAAGCCAGGGCTCCTCCACCGCCTGCATCGCCACCCTGAAAAAAAACCCTATGAAGAAATACTACTTCTTGCATGCTGTGAACGTTGGAGATAGTGGGTTCATGCTCTTCAGAAAGAACAAGTTAGTGTTCCGATCGCCGACGCAGCAGCACGAGTTCAACAGGCCATATCAGCTTGGGAATGGTAAGAACAGCGACACGCCGGAGAAAGCCGAGGAATTCGCCGTGAAAGTGGAGTCCGGAGATATAGTGGTGTTTGGGACAGATGGAGTATTTGATAATGTTTATCCCAGAGAGATTGAGAGGTATATACAGTTGAGCTGTGAGGATGACGACGATAAGGTGACGCCTGAAGAACTGGCTTGGCTTATAGCAGAAGTTGCTCAGTGCAATTCCAGGAACAGACTAGGAGAAACCCCTTTTTCAGAAGCGTCTCGCAAGGCTGGGAAAAAATTTGCAGGTGGAAAGATCGATGATATCACTGTTCTTGTGGCCTACATAGTCCCAGCTTGTTGATTTAGAGATTACTCACTCAGCTGCTTTTGCAGTACTGATCAATATATATACGTAAATATGTCTCTCTTGGTAATTTAGTACCGTTGAATTATTCAATTCGATGTAAACTATATATGCATTTTAACATGCGTCACGTACATAATGTTATAAACTTGGCTTGTAAACTCTCCATATGTATGTAATGTCGTACGTTTCTGGGTTCATATATATATATATATATATATATATATGTTAAGTGTACTTCATAGTATAGTATAATGAATTAATGATCTACCAATGGGAGGTTGGGTCTAGCGGAAAAGACTAGTATCTCATAATGTGGCGAATCAAGATTCGATTCGAATCCCTGCTGGAAGAGATGTCTACATTTAATACCCGACAGTGTCTTGAATAGGATTGCCTCTAATAGGAGGATACCTATGCTTTAGCCAAAAGAAAAAAAAGAATTAATGATCTGTTCTTAATGTTGTTTCTGGGCTCACACGTCAAGGGTACTTCATATTAATTATGAATCTTTTCTTGATGTAGCAGCTGGATTATTCACAGGCTGTGATTGTATGTATTGGTTCGTATGTGCTTCGATTTTCTTGTAACGGCTAAATACTCTCCTAAGTTCGGTGAGACTGGAGGGCGCTGGAATATCGTAGAAGTACATTAAACAAGTACTTTTACAAAAATCAACACAAAACTCTTTTTACATATTTACTTCATATATCATAAAATTACTTTTAAAATTATGTTTTGATTTTCACCCAAAAACTCTTTAAAACAATCTTTTAGAATAGTCTGATATGATAAATTAAAATTTATGTATTACTATCTTTCGTTCTTTCCTGAATTATGATGTATGGTTAATTACATAACCTAAGTCGGAAAGTATCTCTATAAATTATCTAGATTATTTGATTTAATTTTCGGAGCAATTGTCCGCAATCCAAATGTATATAGTTATACATTTTTTTGTTAATATATCATATATTAGGAAATTATCTAAATCCGATGTGTTGATAGATTTAAAGAAAAAACAGTTTTATTTTTTTATGAGATATTTTAATTTTCTCATTCTATAAAATACTACTTCGATCGGAATCATGGAACCAAGCTACCAATTCCACAAAATTGCCACAACTTCAGTGATTAGAACAGTAGAATTCAAACGGCTCGTTCCCTTAAATTGATACACTCCTATATCAAAGCTCTAACGCCCTAACTTAAAGTAAATCAAAATTAATTCACTATCAACATCATAATCCCCTCTTTTAATTTTATCAGCGAAGATAATTAAGGACTCGAAAAAGTTCAGTAATTTCGACCAAAAAAAAAAAAAGGTTCACTAATTTTGTGGAAGTTCAGTATTTTAAAAGTCGGAGGAGCATAATGTCAAATTGAAATTATCTTCGTCTTTTGATTACATTTAAAGTGTTGCCTTTTAAAAATAATCCACAACAATATAAAGGCTACTATTTATTCTGATGTACGTGACATTTCAGCATTCTAACAGCTTGGTTTTCGTGGCTGGGTGAAAATGGTAATTATTATCAATGGTATGGAATAGATTCCAGAGGATGGAGACACAGATCATGTTAATTTGGACTGCGTTCGGGTTATTTAATTACATACTGCCTCCAGTTTGAGTTTTAATTTAATCATAAATATAAAACAACTTGATTTTCATCTCTGATATTTATTCATTTTTTAAAGTAGTCCTTATATTAATTATACATATTGAAAGTTTCATCAAATTATAGTTCTAGCTAATACTCATGATTAGCAAAATAAGAAAGATAACACCCATTTATTACAAATAAATAATTTAAATTTTTTAATTACTCAAATTAGTCAGCTAATCTTTATATTAAAAAATGGAAGTAATATTTTAATTTTCATATAATAATTTTTTCTTGCAGCAGATAAATTGGGATGCGACCATGTGTTGATGCATTTAATTGGCTGCCATGGTTTGAATTTAGTTAGCTCTTCATTACTGCAAGTCATGGGATATCAAACATGAGTACATGACCATAACATACGGACGTGACCCCGATTT